GTAAAACAAGATTTTTCAAATTAATTTAAATTCCTTTTTCATTCAAACGAATTTTTGGACTAAATCAAAGCAGTTTCAAACTTTGGACCAAAAATAAAAGTTGCTCAAAATTTTATCCTCTACAACTTTGATTTTAAGACCAACATCCAATTCATTATAGATTTTAAATTATAAAATTAAAGTCAATTTTGACTCGAACCCTAATTTTTGGAGAATTATTTTTAAAGCAAAATTTGGCAATAATTCAAATACAAACCTTGCTCCAAAAATTGTGATAAACAATTCTAGATGATTTACAATCATAACCAAACAAGTTCTACTAACCTAGCAAACAAAATCAGGGCAAAACAATTCTAACAAAGGTATGCAACATTCAGGTTTCACAACATGTTTCAGATGTTTTGAAGCAGTATTTCACTTGTTATTCACATGATTAAGCATGTATGATTTGGATGCTTGATGATGCATGATATGCGTGATTTGCAGTGCCTAAATGTAGGCATAACACCGGGGTGTTACAACTCTACGGGCTCCTCGCGGAGGAACCAGAGTCGTCCTCCAGCTCTGACTCTAGCAAGGGGAGCCATCACCCTTCCCGGGAATGCTTCATTACGCAAACCCCCGAGGGACACGTCCAAAGCATCTCCGGAGAAGAAACAACCCCAACAGGCAACCCCGACGCCAGGATCGAGGCGGAGATGGCGGCTCCATCTCACATAAGGATGGAGCATCTAAGAGCACGAAAGCTAGAGATCGATGACGTCGGGCAACAGCTTGTCCAGGAATACCGAAACATCGAGGAGGAGATCAAGCGTCGCGGAGACGGTGGGCACGCACGCACCTCGCCCTGTGATGTGCATCGGAGGATCCTCACCGATGATGGGACTCTCCCTCACTTCGCTCGGGCAAGCCAGAACATCGCCGCAGCGACGGCCTTGCTGCACGGCCTTCCGGAGGCCGCGACGTCCGAGGATCGCCGCGCCCGTCGAGAAATTCGCACGTTGCTCGAGCGTGCGGCGGCGCAGCAGGCGGAAAGCTCGTTGTCTTGACGACGTGAACCCGACACCAGCCAGCGCACACCCTCGGTACGTCCCGCCAAGGACGCGTCCATTCACCAGACGCCGCCAGGCAACAGGCAGCGCTCCGCTATACCGGTACATCAACGTCTCGGCCACAGCCGTGACATGCGCAGCACCATCGACGCCCGCAGGTGCACCCACGGCGACGAAAGAGAAGAAGCCCGTCGCGGCTATCATCCTCAGCGCGGCGGACGCTACGACAGCGGCGAGGACCGGAGCCCGAGTCCCAGCCTGCCAGGCCCTCCGGCCTTCAGCTGACACATCCTCAACGCTGCGTTCCCCCCGAGGTACCGACCACCCACCAATATCCTAAAATATTCTGGAGAATCGAACCCCGGGCTTTGGCTCGAAGACTATCGGCTTGCCTGCCAAGCTGGTGGTGCGAGTGATGACAATTTCATTATTCGCAATCTCCCGCTATTCTTGGCCGATTCGGCACGAGCGTGGTTGGAGCACCTACCGTCCAACGCCATTCAGAGTTGGGCGGATCTCATGGAGATCTTTGTGGGTAACTTCCAGGGCACGTATAAACACCTCAAAAACCCATGGGACCTCAAGAACTGCCGCCAGAAGGCCGATGAAACCCTCCGCGGGTACATTCGACGCTTCTCCCAGCAGTGCAATGAGCTCCCTAACGTTGTCGACACCGATGTGATAGGAGCCTTCCTATCCGGGACAACCTGCGAATCCCTCGTCCACAAGCTGGGACGCAGGGGCTACTCCGGACCTTGCCCACAGCGCTACTCCGGACCTCGACTCCGCGTCCCTCCGATAGAGACTCATAGGAGCCAGAAGGCATGCGGAGCAAGGCTAGGCAAGGTCCATAAGTCAAGACCACTGTACTCTAGCCCATACCCTGCACAGGGCACTATTCTGTAACCATCCTGACATTCTATAGAAGCATCGACAGTATTGTAGGCGCTGATCATCCTTTCGCACCCATCAGAATGGGTAACGAGGCTGGGTAGAAGTAAGCCACAAGGCTAGGTAGAGCACGGATCCTAAGCCCTGACCCTTGTAAAGCCGTCCCCTGCATCTATAAAAGGGGATGCGCTTCCTCCAGCAGGGGGAGGACAAAAAAACAAGGCAACACACACATATAGTCAAGCTGCTACCAAGCTCTTGGCTTCCTTTCGCCCCTTCCATCAGAGACTTGGGACCTGTCCCTCTCTCGATCATTTGTATCCCCTACTACGAACCATTCACGGTGCTAATAACACGAGCAGCAACAAACTGGACGTAGGGATATTCAGCCCGAACCAGTATAAATCTTGTGTCCTTTAGCGCACCATCCGAGCCCAACGCGCATTACTATAAATTTACTTGCCGGTGCTTGTACGAAACACCGACATTGTGTTTGCGACGCTTCTTGTTAGCTTCTATTTTTCCCTTTGATCCAGAACCTAGCCCAAACGCGCAACTGATAGTGAGCTTCCCCCGAAAGCATATTTCATCCATTGCGGAAAATGTGAAAAGCTCAGAAGCCCGGGCACCCCAGCTTCTCAACCTTTTCTCTCTCACTCGCAACACCTTCCTCCTTCTACACCAGCATCGCTCTACTCTCCAACACGACTCCCTCTGCATCCGCCTCTTTGCAACAACGCTCCGTATCGGCCTCCTCATAGTGCCGCCGCGCCACATCCACCTCCTCGTGATGTACTCATGGAGACAACTTTCCCTCGTCGAGGTCATGGTCACCACCGTTCGGGAGAAGGCACACCACAGTTACCAATATGCCCTCGAGAATGAAATTCAAGCTTTATAAATAATCTTTCTCAATTAAATGTCCAATAAATAGAAAAAATGAAAGTACTTGAAAGTACCATGATACTTTTCAACCATTGGAAAACAACTCATGGCCAAAACTTTTTACGGGCCCATACGAGGAAACTCGGCGTTGTGTGCTAGGGTTTGGTAGTTTTAGGGTTAGGACTTCTAGGGTGCTTGGTTCCATGTAACTAAAGTTCAGTCCTTGTTATATCGGATGTTTGGTACTAATTAGTACATAAATGAAGACTAATTCACGAGATGAATTTATTAAGCCTAATTAGTCCATGATTAGCGAATGCGATGCTACAGTAAACATATGCTAATCATTGATTAATTAGACTTAATAAATTCATCTCACGATTTAGTCACGGTTTATGCAATTAGTTTTATAATTGCCTCATGTTTAGTCCTCCTAATTGACATCCAAAGATTCGATATGACAAGGACTAAACTTTAGTGTCTGGATCCAAACATTCGGACTGGCCCAAGATTGCGGATTACCTCGAAAAATAGGAAGAGTAAAATTGAGTCTACCCTACAAAAACTTGATAGGTGAGTGTAAATCGGTCCAACAACTGATAAACTGCTAAAATAAGTACAACAACTTGGCAAATTGGTGCATATAAGGTGTCAACGAGCTTGGCAACGAAGACTTGATAAAGTGTTTGGTTCTTGGCATTTATTTAGCAAAGGAAACTCTGATGGTAGTTTCATGTTTGATTGGCCTTTTTAACTTAGAAACAGCTTGGTGTTTCGACTAGGCCTTGTCTCATGATCTGAGACATTGTTATGGTTAGTTCTCATGAAGTTGAAATTGTTTTTTTAAAGGAAATATATTAATATTCTAGCTTCTGCATCGACTAATGCATATAGCTGTTAAAGTTGAAATTGCTAGGTTGTTGGTGGCTAGTTTGGATGTGATTACACCACATGCCATTTCATAATTGATGCAACGAATGAGACAAGAAACATCGAGGAACATGATAAGCTATATTAATTTAGTTGGTAGCACTTGGTTTGGGGGATGAAGCAGGATGGATGGTCCATCTTAGTTTCTAGTGATAGGATGATCTCCTCTCTTAGTTTGGTTCAGAAAGGACGGAGCTGCCACCTTTTTTGTTTAATTTAGGGACATAGAATTAGGGATAAGTCGTTGACACGTGGGTCAAAGGTCTCCATGATTGGTGTCTATCATGGTATGATCTTTATCTGTCGAGAGGGTAGATAAAGTGTAGAAACATTCTATCTAACTTCCAGTAGTCTCAGGCTACTCCAACAACATCAATCAAACAGTGATAACCCACAATATAGCCCCGTCCACCCCCCAAATAGGCATTGGCCAAAGTATGGCACTTTTCTACGTATCACTAAATGATCCGCCATCTGCAAAAATGCTTCACCACATCATATGGCGGTTGCTAGCCATTGCAGAAATATGCCCCATTGGAGGGTTCGATGTGTATCCTTTTCTGTTCACTAAACTATCCCGTGCGTGTATTCTTGTAGTGGGCATGCTCCTGAGTATCACTAGATAATCCGTTGTAATCTTCCTTGATTACGAAATATTTGTGCAGTGGCTAATAATGTGATGGAAAATATTTAGATCAGTGTTGTCATTTTGTTGGGCACCTTCACCAACGGTGCGTCCCATTCACCGATCGTTCTCTGGAGGTATTGTTCTAACTCTCAAAAGTTCAAAAGAACCTAACCTGTGAATCACTACGTAGAAAAATGTTTCAGGGACGGCTGGTAACCCTCTGTAGTGGCGGTTTTGCTAGCCGCCCCTATGAAAGAATGGCTACAAATTGTTGATTTGTAGGGACGGTTCCCAGACCGCCCTTACAAATTATTTTTCCGCCAAGAAAATTTAAATTTACAATTCAAATTCAACCAGAACATATATTTTCATGCACAACTCCATCATGACTTATCTGTGTCTGAACTTGTACATGTAGGATGGGCGTTGGTCAAGCTTGATAAGCAAATCTGAGACAAGTTTTCAGATGCTTTGCGAAGACTAAAAATGAATGTAGTCAAGTACTCAACTAGATCTAATAGCTACACATCAGGAAAAAATAATACTATGAGCTCTTATTCTTCTCCAGACACACCTGCTACCCGACCACAGACAGCTCTATCGACATTATAGATTTAAAACGCCTTGGAAACTTCCTTCTCATTCTCAATCGCATCAGCTATCTGCAAATTAGAAATGTGAGAAATGTAACATTACAGATACTATAGAAGTTTTAGTATGTGATACATCTGTGGATACAGTTCAGAGACTTGCTACAAGATAAAAACATGCAACTCTAGTATGGCAGGCTTCAATATCATATTATTTCTGAACAAGTCATGTGGAAGAAATAAGTTCTAGGTTTCCCTTTAGAAGAGTACAAGTCATGGGAAACAAGAAAAGGATGAACATGAGAACTGTAGTACTGTAATTTTAGTCGGACAAACCTTATCAGTTTCCCCAAGCTTTTTACATATCCTTGCCTTTTGATCATCTTGAATATCATCCGCACTAACAATCACATCTATAAACTGCACAAGTACTTCAGTTAGCAGCGGTGACAGATGAAATCAACAAGAATAGTAATTAATTGGAGTATGGCATCTAGAAACAAAATAAACAGATGACCTGTGCCATCAGCTGTGAGACTGGATATCCATCTGCTATAATGTTGCTAACTTCCTTGTTCGCCACGTCAAATTCACCAGATTTGCAGGCTCAGTGAAGTCAGGTAGTTCTAGGCCACTAACCTTGTTGAGATCTTCAATACACTTCTGGGTGTCAGCAGGATGAACATTATCTGCACCACCTCCCATGCAACCAAAAGCTAAAGACCCATTCACAAAAATCCTGAAGTTGTTCTGAGGAGTTGAGAAAAATGACTTGATGGCCATGCGTATTCTTTCTTTTGACTCAGCAAATAGATCAAGAGGATTGTATTCACTAGTCTTCGATATCTGAAATGTGTGCAAGAATGTATTGGGAATCAACCTGAAGTCAAAAAGCAAGAGACGGTATAGTATTACAAGAGTGCCGCAAATAACAAGCCTTAAGGTATTGTGATAAAGTCCGTATATCGATGGATGTTTTTTTCAAGTGTGCAAAAGAGAGTGGAATTCTATATTGGATCAAGCATTCCAATCTACATACCTCACCCTGATGAAATTTGAGGTGCTGATGCATCTTATATCTCATTACTTGTTTTTTGATAGAGTTATCTTCTGATATATATTCTGATGATGGCAGAAACCCACATTTGGCCTGCAAGGTAAAGCATGCCAAAAAGAAGTCAAATGGTGAAGGAGAAATATACATCAGAAATGAAAAAATAAGAATAGAAGAGGAAGCTTGCAAAGTACCTTTATCTCTACAGCTATGCAGCTGCTACCCGTAGGATTACCTGAGATTAAGAAAGACTTAGTAAGCAAACATAAATTTAATCTAATATAGAGTTTTGGAAATATCTAAAGAACTAAGAGGAAACTACAATGATTTCAGGTTACGGCCTCAGGACCAGTTGCATTTGAAGACGACAACCGTGTTCTAGAGGTTTAACCAAGAGTTTAAGTTATGAATCAATGAGAAAACAAGCTAGTTTCTACCCATCTTGATGCTACCGATTGGGCTGTTGTAAGTGACAGTTGCAAATTTAAACCTATTAGAACTGCAAATTCGAAGATCTTTATAGACAAAGAAGGTGACTGTTCATCTAATGCAAATAGAAATAACAAGTTAGCAAAAGTCTTGCTGCACAACGTTTCATCAAAACATCGGTGCATGAGAAATGAATAGAGCTCTGGACCTTACTTAATCAATCATATTTTTTGATCTTAACAAGATTCAGATTACGATAAGAAGAGGAATGGAGATTGTATCAATATATGCAAAGTGTGTACCAGAAAATAATGAGTGGTCTGGTATTAGAAGAGCGGCATCAGCAGTGTTATCAATTGAACTTGCATTTACTCTCCAAGCAGGACGGCTGCTAAGAACATTCTTTTCAACAAGCTCCAGAAAATCCCTAGAAACGTGTATACGAACCTGCGTCATGGAAAGATAGCATGATTTATTTGTCTAGTCATGAAGATCCAAAGAGTAGTGCCTACTGGAATCAGCAACAAATGATGAAATAAAGCATAGTCATGTCAGAATTCAATAGTATGCACATTGATGCCATGTTATTTCTATTTTAGTAGGGGTGATTATAAGGAAATTATAGCAATTCTCCAATTTCTTCCATAAGTGAACTGAATCTGATCCCAAGTGTCAAGGTTGTCGATATGTTACCAATCAAAATCACAATAACAGGACATAAATGAACTGAACCTGAACCATACCCCACCATCGACATGATTGGCACCCAGATGTTGGCTCATAACATGCACTGCATAGGCTTGAGCCAAGCAATCTTGTTTGATAGACTCAACCAATTCTGGGATATGGCCCCACAGGAGTTGCTCATGACTTGAGAAGACCATACAACTTGGTGCCTGCTGTGACTTGTCGTTTAGAATCTTCTAGACCCGCAATAACTTGCCAAGCTGAAAACAAGTGAAATAACATCCTTATCATCAAAGTGAAACAATGCTTCCTCCCAAACATATCCCATCAATATTCAGGAAAAAAACATATGCATGGTCACAAAATGCACAATCATGGAAAAGTAACGTATGCTTAATTTTCAAGCAACCACGTGAGCGTCCCTGATCCATGTTTCATCACTTGCTCGACCGGGTACTGGATCTTGGGCTCAATGGCTGCACCCGCGAATCACACATAGAGACCCCTAAAGCCAAGTGATCGATGCGGGCACACTCAGTAAGAACCTACTCAGCGCATACCATGGAAGGGAACGAGCCGGTCTAGCTGAGGATGAGATTCGCTGTGCCTTCCCCTTGTAAACCCAGTCCTTGGCATCCGCGGCTTGCAGAACCCCATCCATCTCCGTCGAGAATCTGCAGCTGTCACACACAGAGACACACGAAGCGAACTAAAATGGTGACTCCAAAAGTCAAACCACAGAGAAGCAAGCGATCTGCATCTGCCATCTAGCTCTGTTGGTTAACTAGCTCTGCAACAAAGCCGGCTTGGACTTGACGAGGAACGGAGAGGAGGCCGGCCCTAGGAACGGGACTTGGTCGGAGACGACCGAGGCCGGCCACGGCGACTCGCAGCCTCAGCAAGCCGGCAGCGATAGGAGATGGCCCGATCTACGACCATGAGGGGCGCACGAACGAGGAGCGCCGAATCCTTCGCTGGATCTGTCGCGTGGGGGAGACGAGGAAGACGAGAGGGGACGGGAGGCGGACTGCTGAGAGGAGAGGCGGCGTCGGTGTGCTGAGAGGAGAGGTGTCGGTGTGCTGTGACTACGAGGGGAGGCGGACTGCTGCGAGGGGACGGGAGGCGGACTGCTGAGAGGAGAGGCGTCGGTGTGGGATCAGGCGGTTTGGGTGTTATTTTATATATCGGAGCCGGACAGTGATATGTAGGGGCGGTCGGTGATCGGGGCGGCCGGTGAGTGAGTCGACTCTACATGGTTCGTATTATCAGTCGTCACTGTTGTTTCATTTATAAGGATGGCTGATCTCTAGGTTTTCGAGCATGTCACTGTAGGGGCGGCTCTATCACCAGCTGCCCCTACAAAAAATTCATTCCGTTGCTACAAATCATTTTTCACGTAGTGAATTAGTGTCCTGTTTCCCCAAGAAGCACCATAAATCTTATCCTAATATTAAACTACAAAGAGTTTCGCCCTGTTCGCTTGGCTTATAAGCCGTACTTTTTCAGCTAACGAACAATATTTTTCTCTCACAATAAATCAACCAATAATACTTTCAACCATGGCTTATCAGTCAAGCGAACAGGGCATTTATTCGTTTGATCAGTATGCTTTTCCTTTTCATGCTACTATCTCGGACTGTTCATCCCTTTTGGCATGGTATGCCTTTTATTTTTTTTTGAACGACTAGCACCCGGACGTCCGACGCGAGGCTCGTGTCCTGTGGGGATACGACATTGATACCCACAACAGATTATATGGGCTGCGCCACCAGGGGTGGTCCAGCTCACAAGACGAAGACTTACGATGCACGGTACTGCTCGGTGCGTACCACAAGACATCAAGGGCGATATCCTGAAGATACTACGAGATCTGTTAGGATATGTTTGATCACATGATTCCTATAATCTGTTATTACTTACCGGTTATCTCCTAGATCTAACCGACTTGTAACCCTATCTCCGGCTATATAAGTCGGGTAGGGGACCCCCTCAAAACACACGCAATATCATACGATAGCCAATACAAACCAATAGACCACAGGAGTAGGGTATTACATCGTGCTGACGGCTCGAACCTGTCTAACTCTTGTGTCTTTGTTGCCTTCTTGTTCTTGATTATGCGCACATCTGCCGATCAATCTACCTTCGTGGGATACCCCTCGGAGGACTGCCGATGATATTCCGTCGATAGTTGGCGCGCCAGGTAGGGGTGTGCGTGTTGTTTTCATAACGAACAAGATGGTACACTTTTCAGGCTCTTCGTCCTCTCCAAAGCCCGACCAGATCTTTACGGTCGGGTCGATCTCCTGGGTCATCAATGCTGATGGAGATGGAGAGATCATCGAGCCGGTGCAGATCGATTCTGCACCGACCACACCAACACCCGCAATAGCAGATCCGATCTCGAAACCGCCTTCGAGGTCATCTTCACCAACAACTCGTCGCCTACTGCCCCGCTACTCGAGGAAGCAGGTCGGCAACGAGGATCTAATCGCATCCATCGATCGGGTCGGCCAGAAGCTCGCCAACGGTCTCTCCCTCATGGAATCGGCTCTAACCACTCTAGTTCGGCGCCGACCACCTTCTGATTCTGATCTATCGGAAACCGATCGGGAAACTCTAGGGGACACAACCACCATCCATCAGGATGCCCTAAGGGACAAATTCACCGACCGGATTGGAGACATCTATCCTCTCGCCGGCCCGATCGTCGTCCAGCTCTCGCCGACTGTCAATATGCTGCAAATCAGCCAACGTCCCGAAGAATCCCTCCACACCATCCTGGAGAAAAATCTAGACTCTGAGTCCCAGGGCTCTACGGAGATTATCACCGGAACCGCTGCCATCCGACCACCTTTCCCACCCTTCCGAAGGAGGTAGGATTTTTAATGTCAGCATCGACAACCTCCGCGAGATGGAGAAACCGATGAGGACCGCACAACTTCGCGTCAACAGAAACGCCAACCGTACGTAGCGCCGAGCGAATGAGGTCGCCATTGTGCTAGCTGAGGCTGCTCGCAACGAAGAATAACTCGACTCTCAAGGGAGGCCACGCCCACTCCACCGTAGCCTCGATAATGAATTCGTCCATGTCGACGGCCGCGATGTCTACATGACCCCAAGCGCCAACTTGGTCATGGCCGCTAATGAGCTCGCTCGGCTTGAGCAAATGCCAGAAGTCGCCAAGGTCGCCACAATGCTTAAGCTGCGCACTACCAGGTCAACGAGATCCGCTAGGATCGGTGACCTTCCTACTCGATAAGCTCAAATCACCGATCTACCGTGCCAAGATCCAACCGCTGCCCCAGCAGAGCCATTTCGCCAACCAACATCATGATGATAGACAACCCCTCCGGGGGGAGCTAGGGGGAACCATATCAACAACCCTCGCCAACATGACCAAGAAGTCGATCAAGATGTCCAAACACACATCAACAACCTCAGGGATGCGCGATGTCATATTGATGGGCGCCGTTTCTCTCAGCATGAGGAGGAAGTACGCCGGCGTCAAGAATACGAGCAAGAATTCGGTAATCCGGATACATCCCTCTAGCCACTTAATGCTGGCAATACTGCCGATCCCGACGGTGATGATCCCGAAGGGCTCTGAGCGTTCACGAGAGCACTCCGAATACTCTAGTGGCTCTGTGGTTTCAAAATCACCGGGGTCGAGCCCTATGAGGGGCGGATGAACCCCACATAGTGGCTACAAGCTTATGCCATCGCTGTGCACACCGTCGAGGGAGATACAAGTGTCATGACAAACTATCTTCCTATCATGCTCACGCCGACCGCAATGAACTAGGCTCATGAGCCTCGCCCCAGATTCCATCGAATCTTGGGAACAGTTGAAGAAGGTCATCATCGACAATTACATGGCTACGTGTACTCGGCCGGGCACCAAGCACGATTTGAATCGCATTTATCAAAAACCGTCCAAGCTTCTCCGTAGTTACATCAGACGATTTTCTAAGATGAGGAATTCTATTCCCAACATCATGGAAGCAGAAGTCATCACCGCCTTTGTCAGAGGACTCCATCAACGTGACCTTCGTTCAAAATTCAATCGTAAGCCGCCAAAGGAGATTGGTGAGATGATCATGATCGCTGATCAATATGCCGACGCTGATAGAGGCCAAAGTTCGCTTCAACAAGGATGCGGGCACTCACCGCCCAACTCACCGCAACGACGATTGCCCTGATGAATGACGCCATAGTGACCGCCGCTACGACGACCGCGGCCACCATTAGGACAGTGGCCACGATCGGCCGGAAGGGTCTAAAGCTGGTCAGTATCACCGCCGCCGACCAGACAACATCATCGCCACCATTGATGAACCTCGCGCCAAACATAACTACGATGAGCAGTACAAGAAAATCCTCGAAGGCCCATGCCCCCTCCACAAGAACAGCAAGCACAAGATGAAGGACTGCCTTGGCTTGGCTAAGGAGTTTTAGGCTAAAAAGAAGGACGGCGACAATGACGACGGAGCCAGAGGTCGCCGACCACCTGGGGACAACAATAACGCCTTCTAGGATCACGACAAAGTGGTAGCCACTATCTTCAGGGGCCTCGCCGCCGTCGAGAATAGAAGAGATCAAAAACTCACCGCCCACCGGGTGCTCGCCATCAACACAGACGACGCTATCGTCGACCCCAGCTATCGCCCCTGGTCTGAGGTCCCCATCACCTTCAATAGGGCTAACTAGTGGGCAGACATCCCTTACACAGGGTGTTTCCCCCTCATTCTCGATGCAACCATCAAGAAAGTACTCTTCAGGAAAGTACTCGTTGACGGCGGAAGCGCTCTGAACTTCCTCTTCGCTGGAGCCCTAAAGGAGCTAGGCCTTGGAGTAGAAGACCTCACTCTCTCTAACTCATCCTTCTAGGGGGTGGTACCTGGTAGGGCATCCCGACCGCTTGGAGAGATCACCCTCCCGGTAGAATTCGGCACGGCTAGCAACTTCCGTGTCGAGCACATCAACTTCTACGTCGCCAACTTCAACGCCGCCTACCATGCCATACTTGGTCGGCCAGCTCTGGCCAAGTTCATGGTCATACCGCACTACGCCTATCTGGTATTGAAGATGCCCGTGCCTGCAAGAGTTCTGGCTCTATGGGCCAACCTCTCCATCGCCTATGCCTACGAAATAGAGAGTCTCTCCCTCGCCGAAGCCATCGACCTCTCCATCTAGATGGCCAGTATGATCGCTGACGCCAAGACGGCGCCCGCCGATGACCTAGAGATCCCAACACTAGAGCCTCCACAAGCCTCCGCCAAGTCTAAGGAAACAAAGGAGGTAGGCCTCGGCCTCAATGACCCCACCAAGATCACCAAGATTGGGGCTCATCTCGACCCCAAATAGGAAAGCACGCTCATCTTCTTCCTACATGCCAACGCCGACGTGTTTGCTTAGAAACCTACAGACATACCGGGGTACCACGAGAGAAGATCGAGCACTCCTTGAATGTCTCACCGACCGCCAGGCCAATCAAGCAGAAGCTCCGACAATTCGCGCCAGACAAGACGGAGGCTATTAGGGTAGAAATAAAAAGACTCATAACAGCTGGATTTATTAAAGAAGTGTATCATCCTGAGTGGCTGGCAAGCCCTGTCCTTGTTCAAAAGAAGAATAAAGAATGGAGAATGTGCGTTGATT